TACGGCATTTCTTAGGTATATAAGTGACAGAGCTATTGCTAGAATATCTTGTTATTCTGACCGGTTGCCTAGCAACCGGTAGAGCATCACTATTTACATTCCCTTGTGTCTCATGGTGAACGTCTGGTAAAGCGAAGCGTTCTCTACAACGTTATTATATTTTTATCCGAGGATGAGAAGTGGTTTTCTGCTGAAACCATTCTTTAAAGAGAGATTAATTTAACCTTTCTTGCTTTCGAGTCCGTCAAATAGGAACCGGTAAACCTTCAGTTAAAATCCCTCTTAGCTAGAAGACGTTACCTCCCAGCTGATAAGTATCCTCAATACTGCTCACAAGGTCGGATAATCTTAAAGGAGCTCACAACATCCGGATTTAGTTTGGGTGTGAACAAAATTACCTTTAAATTAAAGGAAACCTGAAAATAGTAGTTTATTAAGATAGAAAAACATCAAAGGGATAATAATAAATCATGACGGAACAAAGATGATTGAGGATGGAGACAACGAACGGATTGCAAACAACGAACTTGAAAAACTTAAGCAAGACTTACCAAAACTGAAATGCGTTAACTCTAACGTGGCTCCTTTAAAGTTTTGATTAGCAGGGAATTAATAATCGAAAAAAAATAAAATAAAATAAAAAATAAAACATTGAACACGAGAAGTGACATACACATTACCTCATTGTCTGTTAGATATCCCACTACATACGGGCCAACCATCCCTGGGATTGTCGCAGCGGAATTGGTGATCCCCATAAGAACCCCTGCATATCTAGGAGCGATATCCAAATGATTGACATTATACGAAGACATATTAAGAGCTGTGATGCCCAGGGCCAGTGAAAACAAAACAACAGCTAGTGTCGTGTTGTCGCAGCCAACATAACTTGTTGCTACCATGAGACAGGCAGGGATAAGATATCCTAAAAGATGAAATATGCATGTTATAACATAGAAAATAACAGGACTTTTTATTTTAGATTAGATTAGATTTTCGCACAAATGCATGTCTGTTGGCTCAAGCCTTAATTCTTAGAACTGTCGTATTTTCAATGTTTGCTCCCTGGCTAACTAAATGGTTAATTTGCTCATTGCTCCTATTTTTCCTTTTCAGAGGACCCTTCTGTAAACCACCCTGTGACATACCCCTCCTCATTAAAGATTAGTTATTATTATTATTCCTTGCCTTTTCTGTGCTTGGAAAATTACTTAATTCCCAAAATATCCATGCGTATTAAAAACAAACCATAAATAAAAATAAAAGACTTTATTTAACCTGAAAGGCCAATCAGTGATCACTGGATCACTGGTATTAACTGGCGATCAGCATTTACATATAAAATACAGCTATTCATAAAATCATCGAATAAGCTGTATGTATGAACAGTTTATTTGACTAATATATCCATGGACTATGTAGTTCCAGAAAATATCAATACCTCCCCCACAGAAGACCCTTTCCTGAGACCCTTCGCTACAAAATTTCTTTAAAATTTTTGGTCCTCCAGAGACTCCCACCCCACCCCAAAGAAATTCCAATCCCTTTTGTGTGTGTGTTGGTGAGGGGAGGGAGGGGGAGGGGCCGGTATGGATAGTTTCTGGAAAAGCATACTGCAGCTAAGTCTTCTGTTCAGAATATTTTATTCCACACTACATGTATTGCTTTAGTCTCCTCCACCCACCCTCTGTCTCTCTTTTGCTTGAAAAACCGTGGGAACGAACGCAAAACGAGCGAACATGCAAGCGCGACCGCGAGCGTAACATGCGAGCCACGAGCAACGCAGACGTCGGAAGACGAGCTTTCGCTCATCTTCTGAAGCCCGCGCAACTTGCGGCTAGTGGCTTCATATGTCACGCTCGGACGCTCACGACCCACCGCTCGCTTGTGTTGCGTTCTTCTCTGCGTTTTTTCCCACGAAATTTCGAGGAAAAGAGAAACTGCTTACAGTCCACCCTCTGTGATTTTATTTGAACTCACCTCCCGTAGCAAAGACTTTCCTAACTTCTCCTGTTGTCAATATGTGACTGTAACGCAACTTGTCTGCCACTTGCCCACCTCCAACAGCAATTATGTACGATAGTAAAAATGGAATGGCTGACACAAAACCATTCTGAAACACAAAGGTAACATATTTTGCAGACACACACAGGAATTGACAGTCATATGTTGCCTTTCAGGCCCCAACCTCAATCTCAGACTCTCTCTCCTTTGCCTCCTTTGTTCTCACGGTCATGCAGGCAAAAAAGAGAGAGAAATAAAATTATACAACACGATAAATGTCATCTCTGTGATAAAAAACAAACCCTAAACCATCTTTTTGTTTCTTTCTCGGATGTGCAGACCTTCTGGCAAGGCTTTTCTCGTTGGTGGAATGTTAAGAACGACGACTTTATCGACTTGAACGATGAAACCACAATCTACGGCTTTACAAATGATTTTAGTCAACAATTTGGTTTAAACCTCTGCTTAATAATTGCCAAGTATTACATCTATTGTGCTTCAAGAAATGGAGAAAATTACTACTTCGAAGCCTTCCTTGCATTCCTTTAAAGCAAATTATCTATAGAGAAGAACAAATGTAAATCACAAATCAACTTGTAAATACAGCTTTCGCACGGCCAATCTTAGCAAACGAAAACAAAACTACACGACAAAACACGTACACGTGTGTATGTTTCGTTTTTTAGTTTGTTTGTTTGTTTTCTTCTCGTTCGTGTTTTTTTTTTTTTTTTTTGTAAACAACAATTAATAATGTTTTGTACACGTTCAGGCTAAACAGGTGAACAAAAACATACATTTCATAACCACTGCTCATTAATGAGTGATAAAGTACTTTGCTTACCTCATGAGTTTGAAAATGTGACATTTCTTGGACAACTTATAAAGGAAAAGGTACATGTAAATTTGCTCCTTACGCATTGTCAAGTTGCGCTCATGACTTAAGAACACTTGTGAAAGGCACCTCATCTTGTGCTTTTCTGTGTGCTTGTAACAAAATGTAACAAAATCCTTAATTATAACATTGCGCGCGCGCTAGTCCTATGCCATTCCTATTGAGCTATCATGAACAAAATCTCTATGTACGCACGGCTGTGCGTATAACATGACGTGTGCAGTTTCAATTTAGCTGCAAGATTTCCGTCGAGTTTAGTACAAGTTCCTTTCGTTTAAGTTTCGGCAATGTGAAGATTATTCTGAACAATCCAAACTCTACTTCGAGCCTTCGAGCCTTCGAGCCGTGAATATTTTGACTTTTTTTGCCTACATTTTCATCGGGTATTTTTGACTTTGTCTGCCTACATTTTCATTACGATAATTAATTCGAAGCGAATTTTTCATTGACAATTTTAGAAACCAGGTTAAGCGTTTTCGCTCAACCGTTGCCGTCAACTGATTGTGGCGTGTTAGGATCCTAATGACTTTTGTTTTTCTTCACCGTGCATTGTGAGAACTTTGTATTCAACCACAAATAAAACATGTTTTAGCGCCCAAGTTGTTGTCGCCATGTTATAAAAGAATTGGTTCATGCTTTTAGCTTTGGAGGTTTGGAGAGCGCTCAAGAAGCTAGAGTTGCTCTCGGCTGTCGCCTCGAGCAGCTCTTACGCTTCTTTCGTGCTCTCGAAACTTCCCGCGTGAATCCATAACTCGATATACGCGCGCTAAGCATGAACCAATTCTTAAATGTACTTACCTTGGAGATTGTAAAGTTGAGAACTTCTTTAAAATAAGAGGGTAAGCAAGTGAGAAATGTGTAGAAACCCCAGTTGTTACAGAAGTGAGCTACGATAATGGCCCACACAGCAGGTGATGTCCATATCTCAAACCACGGAGTGGCATATTTCTGAAATCAAATCAGAAAGATCGGTAAGTATACAAGCTTTGCAGCACAACATTCAGACACCACTGAGAAACATTAATAAATAATTTAAAAAACTAAATTAAATGTGCCTGGATAAATCCAGCCATGTCCAATATCACTTGATCGTAGACAGTATGTACGTTTAGTGCAGATTCATTGAACAACACATGACTCCCGAAAAGAATCTGGGATCTTTGTACAAATCAAGCAAAGTGGTAAGCTTCCTACCAGTTGGGATTCTGAACTAAGCAATGTGGCTAAATGTTATTTAGACTGAGTTAAACTCGAAAGAACTGCTGGTCAGCGGTTACTGTACCCTCTTCAGTGCGGGGAGCTCTGTGGGGTTCTGCAGAGAGGCCCGTGAATTTACAGCTCTCCTGTTCATGTCAGGCCATTTCACTCATGTTGGTGAATGTTTTTTGCTGCTTTCAAAGGCTTTGCTTCCAGCCCATCCCTCCCTTACATTGTAGGTAAGTATATAATACGTATTTTACTTCAGCTGATGTATTTCAGTGTGCATGACGGCGCCTAGAGGTTGCTGCTCACAGGGTTGTCATTGTTATCCTGCATGCGCAGCTTGCAGGACCTGGCTTCACCAGCCTTACAGGCATCTTCCCCACACTCGTTTTGTTGCCGACAAGTTTTATCAAGATTTGTTCCACATGCACACAGCCCGATAAGCATACAGTTTTAAACACAACTGTGCACAAAAAAGCTGCTTTATCTTTTTTTTTACCCATAAATTAATTTATACACGGATGATAGTAATTTCCAACTACTTTCTGACATTGAAACTTGATAGAACCGTAAAAAAGTTGTCCTACTCTTGTCTTTTTGTCCTGTGCAGATCCTATACTTGACAAAATGTACTCTTTTTCCTTGAGAGATATTCTTGGGTGATTTGCTGGTTTATCATGAGTGAACATCATCCAAATTATAGACCATGCAACACCCACAGCACCTGTCAATGAAAATGAAATATTAATTTCATGTTCTCTATGTATAATAACTTAATCCAATAAACAGTTTGAAATAAACTTAGTCATGGTAACAGTGACAAAAAAAGCTTTGTTAATGGACTTACCAAAAGTGTAAAAAACTGAAGGCCACCCTCCCCAGAGGCCAGACGCACTCAGTAAACCAGCTATTGGCAAGCCAATAACTGTACCAATTCGAGATCCTTTGACAGAGCAAACAAAAGAGATGCATGTTACATACTAATGTCCATGAAAACGTTTGGCTCTTAAAAGTTACTACATAAAGTCTGCGTAAAAGCCAAGTGGCCCATCAGGCTGGTGCTCATCTCCGGTTTCTGTAGCATGAAGTAACTAGGAGTATTTCTACTCCCCCCTAGATGGGATGCAAGTCCATCGAAGGGTTACCCCCAGCATTGAATTTGCCGGTACCCATTTTATACCTGGGTTGAGAGAAAAGGCACTGTGAGAGTAAAGTGTCTTGCTCGAGAACACTGTGACACAATGTTCTTGGCCAGGGCTCGAACCCAGGCCACTCGATCTAGAGTTGAGTGCACTAACCATGAAACGTGACTCTGACAGAAACGTGACTCTAGCTAACCTCATCCAAAATGTGAATGAACTGACAAGCAAACTTGCGGCCTATAAGTTACCTGAATATGACAATGTACAAAGCTTGCTTCTCTCTAAAGGTGGGGCCCAGCCACTCCACATGGCGTGCATGGCAGGAAACGTGACACCCTACAGTCAACAACATGGATGGTGTCAATGATATTGCACAATTTACTGAAATGCAAATATATCTGGATGGTTTTCCAGTCGTTTACACCTATATGTTGGAGAATATAATCCATAGTCTCGAAGATTTTCCTGATATCATTGGTTGCATCTAAACATGAACATTTCACAAGAAAACATGAACAAGTCATCTAGGGGCATATTGAATATGACATGATTTGCCATCAAGCCTTTGCATTGGAGTCTGACAGACAGTTTAACAAACTGTGGCACCCAAAGTACAGCACAAATACATCATTTTATTGATCCAAAATGTAAAAAGTAAATGCAACTTACACCAGAAGAAATTCTGGTTTGAGATTTCAACCATGTTTTACTAAATTCATTTATCCCTCACAGGGTTGAAGCTAGTAAGAAAATAGTCTCCCGCTAAGATTTTCATTGCGCTGGTCACCATTTTCGTGAGAGACCTGGAACAAAATTTTCGTCCCTAATCTTTTGAAACGCCTGGAATGTGGGGCTTAACCAAGCTTGGTGTTTACAAGATGGTTGATGCAATACATGGAACATGCCAAACAAGTGCTCCAAACAAGATGTTATTTCAGTTACTTTACTCATTACAGTGGCACCGATACTCAAGGTAGTCAGGAATTTATTGCAAACTTTTCATTTAGACATCTTGATATGGTTCAGATATCGAATGATTGTACGTGCGTAACCTTATAAAACTGTTTGTTGCCCTTTACCGAGTGATTTCCTGCCAAAATCCAGCTGTCAATCACCTCTTTCTCAGCCGGCCAATTTGGCCTGTAGCCGACACTTAGTGACAACCCTGCACTCAGTAAAAAAAAAAAAAAGCAATCAGTGCCAGTATTGTGTTGTACTTTGGGTTGAAATTTTGTAAGTTACTGTTAACAGTCTGTTAAACCTCAGGAAAATCAGACAGGAAAATCTTGGAGATCAGGGATTTTGCTATTTTTGAGGAAAAAACGAATTTCATTCATGACTGTCCAGGATTTTCCGATGTTGCAGAGCTCAAAACAAAAACTGAAATCCAGCTTGCCTGTAGAACAAGTAGCTCTCAAATTTTGCTTGCCCTGGGCAAGTGCTAGTGTGTTTTTTTAATGATTTAGTTGACAGGTGACTTGCTTGATCCCTTGCCTATTGGGCAAGTGAGAATGAAAAGTAACTTGTAATGTCTGGCAGGAAAACCTACTTGCCTGGACAAATGGAAGGATCAAATTCACGTAAAAAACTGACCTCTCCGAGCCCCTCCAGTGTTCTGACCAGGAGTAACATACCAACACTGTGATGTGCTGCGGCAGGCGTAAACATTGTCAATATTGATGTACAAAGAACTCCAAAACCAAATAAATACTTTGCCCCAACCCGTGCCGCTAACCATCCTCCTGGTACTTGTGTGATAACATAACCATAGAAAAATGAGCCTAGAATCAAACCTATGGAGGAAAATATCAGTTAAAACTAGTCAGTAGATAATGAGGCCTCAGTCACTCATCAGAAGGCCGCTATTGATTCATCAGTTCAGGAAGCTGATCATGTTGATTTTTCTTATTTGTTTTTAAGTTTTCATTTGATACATCACGGACTTAAGTCACTGCCTCTAAAGGTAATATATAGATTTAGCCAAGCCTACAAGCGGAGCTCCTGTGCTGGGTTGTTCAAAGCCCAGTTAAGATAACTTAGGTTAAGCGAGAATTTTGAGTTTAGTTTCGTAACTTTGCAGTGAGGTTTTCTGTATATTGTTTGGACTTCTGTTTTGAGTTTGAATAATCTCAAAATACACAAAACAAAACATTTGTATACCATAAATATTTATACTTCTATTAACTTCAAATCCTGGGTTAGTGTTAACGAGCTTCCGAACAACCCGGCCCCGTCTACAACAAGTTAACCTAACATGAGCCCGCGATCCAAAAGAAAACCAGCTCCAGGTCAACTTAAAAAAAACACGTTACCTCGATGATCTAAAAACCTGAGCCCGCGATATGGTCACGTGATACTGGTCAGCGGGTACCTTATTTTGAAAGGTGTCAATTGGCCATAACATACGTGTCCAATATCAAAGAAGGCGGCTATAAATCAAGGCTGCACGTCTCTGTTAACCTTTTAGCTGGAGTATGGCCGCCATCTTGCGCGACTCCATCGTCGTCGTCGTTCGTACGCCCCACGAGCAATACTGCTAGCCATGATAACCATGAGAAAAACAATTCATGGGTTTCCTTTCCTTTTCTAAATGGGTATGGGGCTCCGCTTGGCGGCCCTTGGGGCCGCCGGAGCTCCGCTACTAATCTCTTACTAAACGTAGTTTACTAAACGCTGTTTCCGTTTCATCAAAAACCCGACCAAATAAGAACTAATCAGAATGGTCGGAGTTACCTCAAAATTACCTTGCCATAATAACAATAACAATAACAATAACAGTAACAATAGCAACAACAATAACAAAAACAATAATAACAATAACGAATAACAATAATAACAATACTACTGCTACTACTACTACTACTACTACTACTACTAATAATAATAATAATGAATAGTGCAGGGTAAATAATACCTTGAGTCTTTTGATCCCAATTAAACTCTCCATCCTGCAAATTAAACAGACAGTTTTAATTACTGTAGCAACTTACATGTACCGGTGGGTACATCAGTGTATGATAGAAAGTCATTCTCACTAATAAAGCATCAACAACACAAAATCACAAACAGCTTTGATAAAATGACATCATCTGATACTAAAATAATTGGTCGTAAGGCTTTCAGTTAGACCATGTTTCAAAATTCTAAGCCATTTCTAGGTCAACATTTCATGTTGTACACAAAAACTGCATACAAGTTGTTACCCTCATCAAAAGAAATCAACTCGTGCTATAGATTGTAAGCTTGCCTCATGCAATAAAATTGCCCTGTCTAAATTGGTCCTCAATTTTTCCTTTAAGGGCACTATCAAACCTTGAGCATACGAATTTCATGATAACATCTCTCTAAGCAATCTTGTCCCAGAGGCATGATCCTTTTGGTCAGTACCAAAAAGCACGACCGTCGGGCTAAATCGGAAGTTAAGCCAGCATTAATCATAGCGGCTGTTCTCTTTACAGGTGCTCTGTGGTAGTCTCCTTCTAGCTGTTATTAGAGTCGTCACGCAATGCTTCTAGTGAGAAAAAGTGTAGCATGACGACCCTAATAATGGCTTTGACGCAGACTAGGTGAATGCATGATCAGAAATATATCATGGTCAAACTCAGAAAAATGTGCTCAGTCAAACCCTTGAGTTAAAGTAGGATTTGTTGGTCCCGTTGGCTGGATTAATTTTATCCGGAGCATAGTGTGTTTGCCCACCACTGATTGAAAACGCGTGGCCTCAAGGAACATGATTTGATTGCCTTGTAAACAGCTCCAGTGCACTTGAGTCTAATAGTTTTCAACAAAACCACACCATTCTTTAAAGGTTTCCATGACATTTTGAAGCAATGCTCAAGATAATTCTTCAAAATTTGTACTTCTACACTACATCCTTCGAAATCGAGTTGTAACGTTACACGTGCCAGCCGCGAGCCCAAGTCAACCTCGAGTCATATGGGGCGCCGTTTGTAAATTTATTATTTAGACCGAATTTATGCCACTTTCCCCTTATTTGTAAATAATTGGAAATGCCAGAAAATTTGTTTATAAATAAGGCGCAAGAACTTGTCCGTTGATATGTAAATATTATTTTAGGTACGTCCTGATTTATAAATAATCATTTACCATAGAGTTTTAGATATAAATAATAAACTAAACAACTTCAATTATTTATAAATCAGGTCATCTCTAAAATAGCTGTTTACATATCATAAAGTTTGTAAATCCCACTGATTTATAAAGAAATTATTTCGCCGGGAGTCTAAATTCATTATTTACAAATACTGCAAATTTATTATTTAGGAATAATGAACTTCAGTAAGTGTGTAAATTCATTATTTAGAAATAATGAACTTCACTGAGTGTGTATATTCATTATTTAGAAATAATGAATTTCACCTCGCCGAGTGTAAAATTATTATTTAGAAAGAATGAACTTCACCGAGTGTGTAAATTCATTATTTATAAATAATGAATTTTTATCTCGTCGAGTGTAAATTTATTATTTTGAAATAATGAACTTAACTGGCTGTGTAAATTCATTATTTAGAAATAATGAAGTTTCGTTTCGCCGAGTACAAATGGCTGACCCAGCGTCTCTTGCCCGATCGATTTCGGTGGCTGTTTCTCGCGCTATAAGTGAGACAGTTAATGCTGTCCTTGCTCAGGTAGGTAACTAGCCTGAAATTCAGCAGTGGTGGATCTAGGGCAGCCCCCCCCCCCTCCCCCTTTATTTTAGGTAAAATAAGGGGGCCAATCGCTTTTCCTCTTCGACAATCACGCGTTTGACTCAAAGGTGTGACCTTTGGACGGACAGCGTTGCGTTACACACTTTGTTTGGCTTGATCAAGAGCCCACAGATCGTACACATGGAAGGCTAAATGTCATAAATGAAATAAAAGAAAACGGGGGCAGCTTTGGTGATAATTATTACTAGATTATTAGTGATAATTATTACTATAATTATTAGACTATAGTTGACGAGAGCACAGCCCGAGTCAGGTATCACGCATAGAAATCGAGAGCGAATGATCTAGTATAAATCTACTAGTAGACGTTCAAAACTTGATCAAAATCCTCTTCACTGACACCTCGAAAACGCAAAGAAGCGGCCTTCATTTTGCGAACAAGCGCACACTGCTACGCTACTCACTATCTATAACAGAATAGATAGTGAGTAGCATAGAGAAGAGCATTCGTGATAGAGCGCTTGTAGATTTATACTAAAAGTGAATATAGATTGCCTAACATGCTCACCTCGATCTCGGCTCGCGCCATCTCATAGTCTACGCCGGACCCTTGGATCGTGCTCAGTCCCCCAAACTATGATAAGTTCATGTTAGTTGCTGTGTCCTTTGCCGATTATCAATATCCAAATAGTGAGTGACGTGTATCTAGTTGACTATCTACTGACTCAGAGAAAAGTTGAATGATGTTAAACATTCGTGCCACGAGAGTAAGTTGCCTCTTTCCTGAATTTCGTGCCCGGCCTTGAAGTTCCGATAACTGTTTCAGGATCGTGTTTACAGAACTGTATTAGTGTTGCAAAGCTGCATTTATTTCACAAAGAAATCAACAACAATAGTGAAAATAACCTTATGGAGCCGAAATGAACAAATGAAGAAAATCATCTGTATTCACATATTTGATTTCCTACAATCCATTTTTTTTTTCCGGAGAAAAGGAAAAAAAAATTGGCTTGGCTCGTGTTTGACTCGAGGTTGACTCGTGACTCGAGGTTGACTTGGGCTCGCGGTTGCCTCGTGTAACGCTACAACTCTTGTGACTTGCATGCTGCACAGTTGCACAATTATGACCAGACTGTGGCCTTGCCCCGCCCCAAGTAGATCAAACAGTTCCCTATGTCTAGATTCATATTAATATAATTATTAAATATTCACCAAACTGAAAGTCAGAAAAGCCATTTTTCACGGAAAGATAAAAACCAGCATGCTTACCTTTTCCACAGATGATTTAGATGTATTTCTTTGGCATTCCGGATCATGTGCAGAAGCTTTGGCATTGGCATAAGTCGAGTTAACCATTGCAACCAACGCTACACTCAAATTCACTCTCAATAGATACACAACACAAAACCCAGCACAAGCCAAGATCGCCAGCGCATATCGACACGGCAAATAGCATCCTGACTCCTGACGAGACTTGGAAGTGCGTTTGTCGAGCAAAGGTGCGCCTTCCTCCATTAGAAAACTGAGGAAAATTCGAGGAATTTTTACGTAATGTGAAGTCTCAAAAGTCATGAGCCTTTTTTCAGTGCGTTTACTGAAACCGGGGCCACCCAGACAATGAAAACCAATCAGATGGCAGAACTGAAACAATAGATTTCAACCTTTTCAAATCCAGCCAATCAAATGTCCGGTACAAAACAATGAAATCTCAACTTGTTCGTTGTGATGCGTCCGCGACTACGGTGTCGCTTATCAATAAATTGTTATGTTCAAACCTTTAGCACTTTCGCGTGCATAAATTGAATTATATGCTGTACTTTCTATGAGGTAGTTGGCTGGTTTAGAGAATACATGAAAAGAAAAGCTGCGTAAGCGTCACTCGTAAATATATATTGCCAGAGTGTGTGGT